GATTGTTTAACCTAATGATTTTTTGACTTTATCATGGTGTGCAAACAATATGCATTCAGTAGGAACCATACATCAAAGTTTGAATTTTTATCTTTTCTCAGACTAGTGATACGTGGTTCAGTTCTGTTGTGAGTCTGGACGGGGGCGGCGAGCTGCAGCTCCCAGTCAGCCACACCATTGCGGGGGTAAAGAGCCGATACCCTGATAAGCATTCTGTACCATACAACCATTCCATTTTTCACTTTCAATACAGCATTCAATGAATTAAAGGAAATATTCTTTATTATAAAATAGGTTTTGTGGGAGATGATTTTGCCCAACTGTAGGCTAATGTAAATTTTCTGAGAATGCTTAAGGTAGGCCAGGCTAAGCTATGATGTTCAGTTAAGGATATTACATGCATTTTTGACTTATGCTATTTTTGACCTAGGATAGGTTTAACCCCATTGTAAGTGGAAGAAGATCTGTAGTTGGATAAGGATATGGGAATGAGAGAGAATTTTTTTCAAGATGGGAGTATAGGAACTTAAAAATCCAAAGAGAAGGATTCCGTTGAAGAGAAGTTGAGTCGAGAGGGAGTGGATACTAAAAATACACAGTTCTTGAAAAGGTGAGGGGACAGAATCCAAAGTTCTGATAGTGGGGAGGCTGGCCTTCAACCGGAGACAGAACAGTCTCTATCTTGTAACACAATATAAGGAGGAAGACAGAATGCTTGGGGAGCTTCAGACATTCGCAGTGAGGAGTGGAGAAGTCCAGTATCAGATGGCTTTTTTCTCTGGGGAGGAGGGGAAGGTATGCGGCCAGAAGACGAACGGGGAAGTTCTTACGCTGAGGGGGGAAAGAGTTGTAGGTGAGTGGTGAAGTAGTCACAAATTGATGTCGGTGATCATAAAGCCCCTGAGTATTAACTGCCTGCGTGCAATCTCCTCCATTCTGCGTTTTCCGGCCTGAGTTCGGGAGGAGGCAAAAAGAAACCAGAGCATTGGGGTCATCAGGGTTAGGGTTGCTGAAGACACCTCAGCATTTCTCACGCTGGCCTTTCTCCAAACATTCTCCTGACAGATGTTAATAGGTATACCGAGGGGGGAAAAAACCCTCCTTGGTCAAAGAAGGGTGGGAGAGACACTATCTGCTCTTTTCCATTCCAATCATGCACATGAACGTATTTGAAGTTCTGAGGGTCTTGAGTTTGAAAATCTGGTTAAATTTAGTTTCGTCAACTTTTTCAAGCTTATTTGCTTTCAGAATGCTGTGTGTGTGTGTGTGTGTGTGTGTGTGTGTGTGTGTGTGTGTATAAACTGCATCTGTTAAAGTCTCATCGTTAGGTTTATCTCATCATTTGCTCAGGTAATCAGGAGTTCACCTCACCCCTACTTAAAAGAACAGGAGCCTTTATCCCTTTCATCCAACATGTTTACATTATCTGTCATTAGCCATTTAAATCCATACTGATTTAGGGTGGAACAATAGCATACTTTTTCTGAAATACACCTCATTCTTCTTGAACAGCAGTGCTATGTGTCTGTTCCACTTGTTCTCAATTCTTCTCATAAACTTGAAAAACAAACAGTGTGTTCTTCCAGGACCATAAGAAGCCATCGTGAAATGTGGCAAGGCAAATAGGGCCAGCAGCCATCCCAAATAGTAAATGGTGCTGGCAGGGAGGGTGGCAATGAGAGTCACCTGTATTATTATTTATTACTGTTATTTATTATAAGCAACATTTTCATAGGTCCTTACAGTGTGTTATTTTGCATAATCACGTTTAATTATGGTTGAGCAACGTACACATCTTATTGGTGAGAGCAAGGAACATAGTTTGGGGGGCACAACAAAAGACATGTTGACGAAAATAGAGAGGAGCTGGGGAGGGAGCTAAGTGTCAGGGACAGTGGTCTAGATCATGCATTCTCAGTGGAACTGCTGTTGCCACCAGCGGGATAAAAAGTGGTTTGTGGGGGGCAACAAACATAGGTATAACAACAATTTGTGGCCCTTTGGAGGGCCATTAAAAACTGCCTAAAAATATGCAGTATTATTTGTGGTATTAATAGTTCATGGTAGAGGATGATTAGAACAAAAGTGTCTACCATAGGCTTGCTGAGCGGGGGAGGTGATAAGGGAAAAAAGATTGGGGAGCCACGGTTTAAATCCTGCAGTGCCTGTGGAATGTGTTGACATTTGTGAGTGATTCTTTTGTTCCCAGACATGTTAGACAGCTCATTTGTCTAGCACAGTGTCTGCTTCTGGCTTCATTTGTCCTGCCCATCTTCCCCAAGGCTCTAAATGACTATGTTTTGCCCCCATTAAGCTCTTCTCTTCTGGCCACAGCTGACCAAATTAGGGTAGATATAAGCCAAGACCAGTATGGCCAGTGCATGACTGGTCCCAGGAAGCCTGGCTTTGCTCACTTCCTCTCATCAGGCCCCTGTGATGCTGCTCTGTATTTTTATAATGTCTGCCACACAGCTTACTCCCTTTGAGAAGACTTGAGTGGGTGCCAGAAGAGCCCTGGGGGGGTTGTGACATCTCCCCAGTCAGGACGCTTGGCCTGGGGGTATACTGTTTGAGTAAGATTGAATGTGACTAAATGAGGAGAGAAGAGAAATCTGTTCGAATCATCAGCTCTTCATCTTGCATGTATTCAGCATCTGATGAGTGCTGACTAGGGTCTCTTAACAGCTGTGATATTGACATTTTGGACCAGAGAATTTTTGTTGGGGGCAGGGGTGAGGGCTTTCCCGTACATTATAGGAGGTTTAGCAGCATCCCAGGCCACTCCCCACTAGATGCCAGTAACACCCACTCCACCAGTGGTGACAACCAAAAATGTTTCTAGACATTGACCAATGTCCCCTGGGGAACAAAATCACCTTGGGTTGAGAACAACTGATACAGATAAACTAGAGCCATTATAGATGGGTATAAATCTAATTGTACCAGTATGATCAGAAACGCCACAAAGGGCTTTTGATCTGCTGTTGAGCATCACCTTAATGAGGATGTTACCAGAAATGATGGAAGACAGTCCTTGAGAGAGCTAAAACCAGCGTTGTTACCAAGATAATCACAGCTACCACTTAGTGAGTGCTTGCTTATGTGCTGGACGCTTGCCACACGTGTTCCATTTATTAACTCATCAGCCCTCCCAGCAACTCCAGGAAGTCAGTGCCACCATTATTCTACCCACCCTACAGTTGAGGGAACTGAGATGTGGAGATGTTAAGGGACTTGCCGGAGGTCACCCAGCTGGTGATAGTAGCGTCACCCAGGCAGCATGGTTCCAGAGCCCATGCGCTCATGAGCACCTAACAACTCCTTTGGAGAAGGAGAAGCAAGCCGCTCTGTACTCCAGCATCCCATAGAGATGGTTCCTAAGGAAGTTGCTAACATTAAGACAATTCAGGTGGAGGCTGGAATTTCAGAGGGGAAATCAGAGGCAGTTGAGTCTATCACTGCCTGTCCCCCTCACTGGTCTTATTAACTGCACCATCACCTACTGCCCTGGCCTTATTTTCAAGGTTGGGGAAACTTTTTACAGTTTTGGAAGGTTCATAGAGGCAAGAAGCACTTGCTTGGGAGATCCTTGCTAGGCTCTTGAGGTCTTTCTAGAGTGGCTTAGGTTTACATGTTAGAATAAGTTCACTCCTTTAGAGCCACATATAGATTAACTTTGCCAGACCCAGCTCGCAAAGGTAACCACTCACGCATCTCAGGTGGTGCCAGAGCCCAAGAGCTCTTCAGCAGAATCAGGAGTGAGAATTCCCATCTGCCACTGATGGCACTTTATGAGGTGAGGACCACGTCTGAAGTGGGAGTGGGAACCAAAGGGAAGATGAACTGTTGGCATCTTTCAGGTTTGGACAAAGCGAAATATTAAGCAAGTCAGGACTCAGAGGTCCCTGGAGTTCCAGGCAAATATAGACATTCTTCCTATTCCTTCCAACCTAAGGGACAGCACCAGTGTCAGGAGTCAGCAGTGTGGATACTTGGCATGTGCTGCAAAGGCATCTGTCTTGAAGCAGGAAGGCAAACAGTGCTGTTCCCCAGTGGAGGGTGTGGTATTGCCAGGCTGGCCATGACAGGATCACCGGGGTTGCTTGATCAACATACAGAATCCCAGCTCCCACCCTGGTGGATTCCAATTCCAGCAGATCTGAGGTGTGGTATGGCAAAATGAATTTCTTTTTTTTTTTAAGATTTTATTTATTTATTTGAGAGACAGAGAATGAGAGAGATAGAGAGCACAAGAGGGAAGAGGGTCAGAGGGAGAAGCAGACTCCCTGCTGAGCAGGGAGCCCGATGTGGGACTCAATCCGGGGACTCCAGGATCATGACCTGAGCCGAAGGCAGTCGCTTTAACCAACTGAGCCACCCAGGCGCCCCAAAATGAATTTCTAACAGTAGATTCGGATGCATCACTAGACCCGGGGAGTGCTGCAAAGACTGGGAGCAACAACCTCTATCATGTGGAGAGGTGACCCGGAAAAGCTGAACAGCGCCAGTCGTACTAGACCTGAGGTCCTCTGGCCAATGATCACATTAAAAGAACGCTTTGCCCAGACCCTAGGGTGATATATACAATATTATCACAACTCATACCTCACACAAGAAAGAAAGGGCTTAGTTGCTAGTTGCCTACTTTCTACAGATTCTTAAGAGCACAGTATGATGGTCAGTATTGATCAGTTTAGACTAACACCAAATATTGTCTTAGCAGGTTTTTTTGTGTGTGTGGATAACACATAATAGTAAAAGTATAAAAAAACTATAAAGATGCTTATGCTATCAGGTTAGGGTCCTCTAAGAATTAGTATTTACTACTAAGTAATTAGAAAGCATAACTTGGGAAACTCCTAACAGAATCCTATTTGGAATTTTAGTGTTAATGGATGGCAGCTTCGCAAGTCAAAATCTATGTGATAGGAAAACACTGAGGGAAAATGATGTCCGCATCAGGCCCAGCCACCCCCATGAATTTAAGAGCTTGCTCTGTCATGCAGAGATCTTATTTTGTATTTGTGATAACTGATAGCTGTGACGGACAAGCTCACCGTAAGCATCCAATCCTGTTCTCTGTTCCCTTTTTGAATCCATCAGGAGTTCCATCGTCTCAGAGTTCATATCCCTGTGGAATGTGCTTGTGGGTTCTTTGGTGGAAGACCCGTTTCCCTGGTTTTCCTGTCTCCTTCCTTTCCCACAGGGCAAGATGTGGACAGAGAAGTTTATGGATTTACTCCATTGATACTGCGTGGTGCTAAATAGGACCCCAGGCCACAAAGTCTTTGAGGTATACCTGGATAGGAAAGCCAAGAAGAGAAGAAAGACAATACTCCTTTTTCAGTGGTGGAATATGCTGCTGAATCTCGTCTAGGCATGAGTAGAGACACGGAAGTTTCTCAGCTTGAGCATGTGTGGGCACAACTCATGCTCACATGTACACCAGTGTGCATGTAATTAAGACTTGAAGCCTTTGGTTAATGGGGCTAAGGCTGATGCCAGTTGGGGACAGAGCTTCTTCCACCCTCTTGGTGGACTTAGTTGGAGGGAGTCCATGTAAACAGAAGATCCAGTGACAGGTTTTTCTGCTCTTGCTCAGATCTGACAAGGTGGTAGCCCAGCGAAGTCATGGTATCATTGCAGACTTTTTGAAGTCGAGAAACCTTTTCGTAAGGCAAAGTCCAGCGCCAGGCCTGGGAGACGTTGAGGGCATTCCTGGCATTAGTCTGAAAGGCATGATTACCCATGCCCTTGCCTCGAGTGATGTTGTACACCCAGGTCTGGAGGTGGGGCAAGAATTTCAGTCCCACATATTTATACATTTGGGCAGTCTGGGCAATGGGCTCCCGGACCAGGTCCTCATAGCGAACAAGCATGTAGCGTTGCCTCAGGGCTTTGGGCAAGGACTGCACAGCCTTATAGATCTCTAGCTGGCTTTGGCAGATGACCTGCATCACGTAGTAAGGCTGATCCTCCTCCTTGACTTTCTCCCAGTGCTGCCCCATCACAATGCGGCTGTCAATCATGAGTTCCCCTGTGGTGTGTTCTCGAGAACGGAACACCGCCCGGGGATCCCGTACCAGGTGCACAATATGCAGATTGAGGGAAGGGTCTCTCAGCAGTGGGTAGAGCACCTCCAGGTTGAAGAAGCGCACCTCCTTGAGCACCACGTGGCTGTAGGAGCGACAGGCCTTCTCTACCACCTCAAAGGGCTCTTGACTGCAGAGAAGCTTGCAGTGAGCCTGGGATATGATCATATCCCGGGAGAAGATGTTGCAGGCAGGTGGGGAACACAGGGCCCGGCTCTTGTCCCACTGGAAGAGGCTGGACTGTCTTCGAGGACTGGGTTTCATGTAGGCATCAAAGACACTCATGTCACACAGAAAAATGGCACGGATCAGATCCCTCACTGCCATATGCAGCCTCCAGGCAGTGCTGTGTGTGAAGGTCATCCAGATGTGCCATGCGGGCTCCATCAGGTAGAAGACATCCGGGTGCTGCCCAAAAATCTGTCCCACAAAAGAAGAACCAGAGCGCCAGGAAGACAGGACCAGCACATGCATGGGCTTGGGCTCCTCCTTCGTGGACAGGGAGTTGAAGTCGTGGCCATACAGATGGAAGAAGAGAGCAAAGATGGCCATCTGGGAAATCAGAAACAGCAGTGGCCTCATTTTTTTGGGCAGTATCATCATGCTGAAATGGAGACCTTTAAGGAACAAGCAGAAGGGCCGTGTTAGGCTTCTGTTTTGGTGTCAGCCTTCCATCCCCTTTCTTGCCAAAGTAATTTTTCCCCCTGACCCCCAGCAAGGAGCAACATAGAATGCTGGGAACTTCTGGTAACCAACTACATAAATCCTTCTCTGAATCAATTCCTGTCCCTTGTAGTTAGTATGTCAATAAGATCTATTTATTTTAGGCTCTTTACTTACTCCCTCCTGGTCTTTCGTGTCCAGTGAGCTGCCAAAAATGCCTGAATGTAGCCATATTTCATCGTCTTAGAGGAATAGCTCCATCCTGCCACCTTGGTGACACGCATGTGTCCACATGGGCCACTTAGGCAAAGCTTAACTAGTCTGACCAAATTTTGGTCGAATGCTCTGTGATTCCTTCTGAAACTAAGGGAGATAAGCTGACTTGGGAGGAACTACCTCAAGGTCATTGTTCACCCACCTCCCCTATCTTGAGGGCGATTGCCGTAGGCCATTTCTCATTGCCTTCCTTCATCTCAAGCAAGCACAGGCCTTTCAATCCCCTGAAGGATATGGTTGCAGGCTATAAAACTGTTCCGCTTGAGTTTGGAGTCATCTCCTCAGGGGCAGAGCCAAGCGCCCATGGTACCTGTCATTTGGTCCCCTCTGGTTTGGCATCATCCTGTGGGACTAGGGACACAAGGAACTGACCCATGCTGACCTTACATCTGTGTAGCTAAGAAACTATCTGAATCTATTTGGCTTGAATTGTTGTCTCCTTAGCAGCTGGCTCTATGGAAGTGTGCAAACCAACCTAAGAGCTGCAGTAGTGATACTTGTGGCCTGTTAGCCACTGTGTTGCTGCTTGGGGGAATGCTTAACTGCGTGACACAACTCAATCAGGGCAGCTCAGTACAGATGGCCAGGTTGTGTACTGCACAACCCTAGGGAATGCCATCTCATTAAAAATTTAAGATATTTCTTATTAAAAAATGTTCTCGTAGGTGATGGTAAAGTATTTTGGTCCAACAGAATAAGAACATTAGGATGATTTTCCAGTTGTTAGAAGTTAAATATCTGGAGAGGGGCACCTGGGTGGCTCAGTCAGTTAAGCGGCCAACTCTTGATTTTGGCTCAGGTCATGATATCAGTGTCCTGGGATTCAGCCCCATGTTGGGCTCCTTGCTCAGCAGGGAGTCTGCTTGGGATTCTCTCTCTCCCTCTCCCTCTGCCCCTCCTCCCACTTGTGCACACTCTCTAAATAAATAAATAAATAAATAAATATAATCTTTAAAAAAATATCTAGAGAAATGAATTCCACTTAGTAATTCACACTAAGGCTCATACAGACTGGTGGCAACCCTCAACCCACTCCCTTCATAATCAAGGCTCACTTTGTATGAAAAGACCATGGTTTCCAGTGACATGCTAGAATATTATTCTGAGGTTTTTTTTAAGAGTTTAAGGTTAAGGGTTCTTTAAGGGTTAAGATGAATCTGGATTGTTTTGGGTGACTTCCTAGCATAAACAACTATTGAGAGATAGAACAGATAGAATAGCTATTTCACATAGTGTAAAATATTAATAGTAGCAGGTGCTAATTTTTTTTTTAACATTTTATTTTTAAGTAATCTGTACACCCAACATGGGGCTTGAACCCACAATCCTGAGATCAAGGGTCCCATGCTCTACCAACTGAGCCAGCCAGTCACCTGCAGGGTGCTAATTTGCATATCATTATATACCCAAGATATTCTTCCTTCCAGCTTTTTTTTTTTTAAGATTTTATTTATTTATTTGCGAGAGAAAGAATGAGACAGAGAGAGCATGAGAGGGGGGAGGGTCAGAGGGAGAAACAGACTCCCCACCGAGCGGGGAGTCTGATGCGGGACTCGATCCTAGAACTTCAGGATCATGACCTGAGCTGAAGGCAGTTGCTTAACCAACTAAGCCACCCAGGCGCCCCCTCTTCCTTCCAGCTTTAACAAAGAAAATATATTTCTAGGGGTGCCTGGGTGGCTCAGCCGGTTAAGCATCTGCCTTGGGCTCAGGTCATGATCCCAGGGTCCTGGGATGGAGCCCCACATCAGGCTTCCTGCTCAGCAGAGAGCCTGCTTCTCCCTTTCCCTCTGCTGCTCCCCATGCTTGTGCACACACACACACTCTCTCTCTCTCTCTCTCTCTCTCTGAGAGAGAGTCAGAGTGTGGACAGCACGAACGGGGGGGGGGGGCAGAGGGAGAGGCAGATTCCCCGCTCAGCAAGGAGCCCAACATGGGGTGGGGCTCAATCCCAGAACCCTGGGATCATGACCTGAACCAAAGGCAGATGCTTAACTGACTGAGCCACCCAGGTACTCCAATAAATAAAATCTTTAAAAAAAATTTTTTTAAGGAAAAAAAAGAAAATATATTTCTAGACAGTAATTGGAGCTGGATTTAAGGATTGTTAATTTCCTGGTGACAGATCTTATCACTAATTTTTAAAAAGTTTTTAATGAGTAATAGTTACATCGTTCAAATTGTTTTAAAAAAGTATCATTATCATGGACATTAAACCCACAGACTTAGAATTTAGAAGGCTTCTTCAGGCGCCTGGGTGGCTCATTTGTTAACATCTGCCTTCGGCTTGGGTCATGATCCCAAGATCCTGGGATCAAGTCCTACATAGGTGCATTGGGCTCCCTGCTCAGTGAGCCTGCTTCTCCCTCTCCCTCTGCCTGCTGGTCTCACTGCTTGTGCGCGCGCTCTCTCTCTCTGTCAAATAAATAAGTAAAATCTTTAAAAAAAATAAATAAAAGAAGGCTTCCTACAATTCTGCATGCATGCAGGACATAAGGGAAGTGCTTACCAGCCTGAGTCTAGCCTGTCACACTGCAAGTCTTTAATAGGCGGTGGGGGAAATACTATGACAAGAAGTTATGTCTGTGGATGAAGAGTATAGTCATAAACTGGAAAACTTTTAGAGCTCTTTGTAAACAGGGTTAATGAAATACCTTAATGATAGGTCACAGTATATTTCTGGGGGAAAGAACACCTAAGAATTTTACCAGCTGCTGAATCAGTAACGTCTTCTGTACTCACAGCTAGGATGAATCTGCTAGCTGGTGTTTGGTCATTACTGTACAGTGAAAGTCTACTTCAGTACATGTCCCCTATCTGCCCATTTCCCACCTTGCCCCCAGGTAGCAACTGGGTTCATTTTTTATGTGTCTTTTCAGTTGCTTTCTGCACACCCAAGAAAATTCAAATGTATATGTAGTCTTAATTCCCCCCCCCTCTTTATAATAAAGTAGCAAGTTATACACAGCATGCTTTTTTAACTTTACAGTATGTCTTGGTGAGCTTTCCACGGTAGCACATAAAGCATTTCCTCACTCTCCTTTACCATTACATAGAGTTCTATTATACAGATTTACCACATTTTATTTAACTAGTTTCCTCATTGCTGGGCTTTTGGCTTATTTCCAGCTCTTTTGCCATTACAAAAACTTCAATAATGACCTGATGTTTAAACCTCGTTACACGTGTGTGTAAGCTAAATCCCCAGAAGGGGAATTGTGGAGTCAAAAAATACATGTGTGTGTAGCTTTGCTCTCTATCACCCACATGGCCTTCATACTGGTCATAAACCATTCACTATATCCAGAGCTGCAGAAATTCTAGGGAGTAGATTTTTGAGGAGGAATATATAAATATAAAAGCAGGTTTATAGCTTGCTTCCCAAAGAGGTAGAGCATGCTTTGCCAGCTCATGGGCTTCCCTTGGAAGTCCCCTGAACCTTCTGGGAAGTGTGTACTGACCCAAGCCAAACCTTGTGCAGTGGCATAAAAACCCTTCTCTTCCATTCTTTACAACAATGCATTTCTTCCTTATTGCCAAAAGGATCCAGTGAGGATCCTCTCTCCTTCATGGCCAGGATTACTTTGCTGTATGCCAGGGAAATGTCAGTGAGGGGTAATTCCTTTCTTTGCCCTGAAGGTTAGAACAGGACCAGCTAAAATGTGCTCTTAGGTCTTTCAAACTCAAGCCCAAGAGGAAATGATTAGACACTAGGACATTATTAATAGTAGCCCAAGATTGCCCTCCTCTACTCCCATCTCCCAAAGACTGAGGAAATGACTTTGGCAAGAGATCCTCTCCAAAAGGTAACGTGAGTGTCTGGAAAAATTTGGAACAAAGATAGGAAACAACAGAGCAAAAGAGAGAGAAAAGTAAAGAAGGGAAGAACATGACCTGTGCACATTTATAAGGAAACCGTGATAGAATTTTGTTTGCAGGGCCTGTAATCAACTCAAAAGGAAGCTAACACTTCTTAAGGATTAGGAATGTAGACCTTTCAAAGTTATACTCTCGCTCCCCAATCCTGGCTTTGGGCCAACTCAGTGTCCTGAGCGGGATCAATGGCTCTAAGTCCTCCTTGCCTACCAGTAGCTCCTGGCCTCATGCCCATTCTCTCTCAGAGCTGGAGCCAGGCCTTCTAACTCCGTCCCCAGTTGTCCTCAGGCTTCGGTTGTTCACAGCTCTCGGGAATTCCCATGGAAACCCTTCAATTTCTTTCTCTCCTTTTTCTTACCATGAGCACTCACCCTGGCCAGAAAGAAAATATGTTTTTGTAAAGTGAGTCCCATATCTTGTCACTGGGGTCAAGCTACTACCTGGATCCAGGCAACCCATGATGGGGCTAGCCAGAATAGCCAGGGAGTACTGTAGGCAAAGCCCATGTCTGCAGAGATTGTAATCAGTAGCAGAGATTGTAATTAGTAGTAGAGATGATATTCTTGAGGGCCTGGGAGAAGCGAGCAGATGTGGCTCCATGAGGAAGGGGCAAGTTGGGTTTTTTATGGCCATCTCCTCTCCTCTAACTACCACCTCTCCCCCTGTCCTGCACTAACCTCCTCTGTGGTCCTTGGAGTTGGTGTTTGTGAGAAGTGTGTGACACGACTCCATTTCAGAGTCCCTAGTCCACCTTCCCAAGTGTACTTTTCCTGGCTATTCAGGTGCCAAGCTTGAATTCCCCCCTCCCCATTGTCAGAATCCCCGTTCTTCTCATCTCTGGCCTGGCCTTTGATAGTAAGTAGCCTCTCTCTTCTGTCTCTCAAATTCCCCATCCCCCCCATCCACTGTTGCCAGAAACTGTCTTTTCTAAAGCACAAGTCTATCAGTCCCCTCCTTGAATCCTTCAGTAACTTTCCAGCACATACAGGATTAAATCAAAATCCCCAAGTCTTGTACCCAGGGACCTTCATGGTCTGATCTTTGATTCCCTGTCAGTCCCCTGCTTTTCAGCACCATAGGCTCCAGACTTTACTCTCAGTTCTTTCCTGTTATTTAGAAGCCCTTACTCCTGAGATTTAATTGTTCTCTAAACTCTCCAGTAGCATCCATCTCTCACTCTATAGTAAATAGCTGTAGAAGAATGTTTCTACCACTGGGCTACTGTAACTTAAGGGTAAATGCTATGTCTTGTCTTTTTTTTTAAAGATTTTATTTATTTACTTGACAGAGAGAGACACAGCGAGAGAGGGGACACAAGCAGGGGGAGTGGCAGAGGGAGAAGCAGGCTTCCCGCTGAGCAGGGAGCCCGCTGTGGGGCTCGATCCCAGGACCCTGGGACCATGACCTGAGCTAAAGACAGACGCTTAACGACTGAGCCACCCAGGCACCCCTATGTCTTGTCTTATTTAAAGGTACATGAAACTTGTAAGTGATTAAGGCTCTTTAAACACTTGTTGAATAAATCAACAGTTGAATATGGGAAGAGGAGTAATCATGGCTGGAAAGCAGATAACTGAATGAGATCCACTGAGAAACAGAAACTTGTCCTTTTCTAAAATGCACATGGGTGTCTCTGTAGTATCAGTTACTAAAATTTAGGTGATTCTGTTGAGTGTTGAGCACAGAACCAAAACTATCTCAACTGCATGGAGCAAAATATTAATAAAGTTAGAGGCATAGGTTTGACGGTATGGCACAATTAACCTTATTCCAAAAAAAAAAAAAACCAAACAAACAAAAAAGGAGTTTTTACAGAGTATGTATTAATGAAAACTAGAAAAAAAAAACCATGAACATTATTATTTTTTTTAATTAATAAGAAATAAAAGCAGGGCATCTGGGTGGCTCAGTTGGTTGATCATTTGACTCTCGATTTTGGCTCCGGTCATGATCTCAGGGTTGTGAGATGAGCCCCGCTCAGCCGGGCATCTGCTTCTCTTCCTCTCTCTCTCCTTCTCCCTAAATAAATAAATAAATCTTAAAAAATAACTAAATCTTAAAAATAAAAAAGAAATAAAAGCTGTATTGCAGAGCAAAAGAACACTCAGACTACGTCTCTTGTCTAACTAGCTCAGTTAGAAAAAGAAAAAACAAAGAAAACCCTCAGCACATTCTCTCACCACTGCCCCCCAAAATAATTAAAAAAAAAACAGGTTGCACCAACTAGGGGTGAGTGGTATCGTTCTTAAAAAAACATCACCATCATCAGCATGACCTCATCTGGCAGCCTGATGACCGCGGGCTGAATTATGGATGACCCCCAAATGAGTACTGGGTAGCCTTTTAGAAACAAAATGAGCAGGGGCGCCTGGATGGCTTAGTCAGTTAAGTGTTTGCCTTCAGCTCAGATCATGATCCCAGGGTTCTGGGATCAAGCCCCGAGTAGGGCTCCCTTCCCTGCAGAGAGTCTGCCTCTCCCTCTCCCTCTGCATGCCACTCCCCCTGCTTGTGCTCTGTCAAATAAATAAAATCTTAAAAAATAAAAAGGGGGGTCACCTGGGTGGCTCAGTCAGTTAAGCAGCTGCCTTGAGCTCAGATCATGATCCCAGGGTCCTGGGATCGAGCCCCACATCGGGCTCCCTGCTCAGCGGGAAGCCTGCTTCTCCCTCTCCCACTCCCCCTGCTTGTGTTCCCTCTCTTGCTGTGTCTCTCTGTCAAATAAATAAAATATTGAAAAAAAAGAAAATGAATTCTGGAGGGAAAAAATAACAGGCAGCAATTTAAGAGTCCCGGATTCCAGCCACTGGCACATTCCTAACTTAGATTCCCCAGTGAGATTATGCTCCCACAACCCGAAATTAGAGATGGCAGAAGATATTTTCACAAACCGAGAGATCAGAGCTGGATTGGGGAAACAAATCCACACATACACCTATAGACCCAGGAAAATCACGGGGATAATCACCTGGGCAAAGGTGACCATATAGTAACAAACAGTAACTAGACTGAAAATGCCAGGAGGGTTGGACCTGGGTCCTCACCACTGCTGCATCTCCAGTGTGCCAAAAACAGTGCCTGAAACATCTACTGAATGATGACTGAACGACATCATTTGTAGAGCAGTTTTTAGTGCTTGAGGTGCCCTCGTTGATGTGGGTAAGGAACGGGGGGGGAAGGGGGCGGACAAGATAGTTTTATTTTGTGCATATAAACGTATTTCAATTCCAACTAGAAGTTCTAGACTGGTCTGAGGCCATACAAGACAGAAGTCTGTTCTACTTCGGCTGATGCCGGCCTCACAACCTAATCTTCTTTTACAACTGAATAGCATTCCACAACTTTGAAACCCCATACAGCCACAATCATGACAGGTATCCAGTTATATATACAGGACACTGAAAATCCACACACCTGTGTTCCAGAGTAAGTAAACTGAAACTGTAACTGATTGACTCAATGGTGGAAATAGCCCTACCTGAATCACACCCCAGGTCTGTTGAGTCTCAGGGCCGAGAGCATTCAATGATCACATCACACCTCGCCTGAGCTTGAGAAAACCTACAGCTCCCTCCACCTCCCATCTGCCATTCTCCAGCACCTGAGCAGAGAACACACAGCAAGTATAGAAACTTGAACTCAAGCCAGGATCGGAGTAAGTTAGATGAGTCAGGGGACCATCTACAACACATCTATCAGGACAGCCCTACTGTCCTCCTAGACTTTTTCAGATCCTTTCAGAGATGGAGCTGGGTGGGCATGAGGGAGCTGTTGGCAAGAGGCTTGTGCTTTTTCAGGGAGATTTTCCTGGTGACTCTGATTTAGCCCCCCTCTACAACCTCCCTCCTCTGCCATTGCCGTTAAAATCCTTAGCTTAGCTGCAGGAGGTTTTCTGGGACAATGGCCCCGCTGTGGAGGTGTATACAGAGAAAACTCTCTCCTTACCTTGATAATAGCTTGGGCTTCTCCAGTGCTTTAGACAGGCTCACTGCTAGCCAAGCTGTGCTTTTCTCTTCTGTCTCACAAACTTCCCTATCGGCTTCCTCTTCCTCATGGCATTTTGCATAACCATCTCTACTCAGAATAAATTCCACTGCCCTCTGCTCTCTGCCCGAATAGTGACCCACCTTCCAAGACGGTGTTGAGAAAGCGCTCACTCCCGAGTAGCCTTGATATTAGCAGCTTTAACATGAAGAGACTCAGGCGCTGGGAGAGTCTGCTCACGGTAGACTGGGAGAAGCAAAGGAGGAAGTGTTTTCTCCCACAGCTGGGAGCTGGTGCTGGAAAGTAGGCTCCTTGAAGGCAGCTGAAAAGGTTAACTCCCTTAGGACAGGGTAGAAAAAGAAAAAGGAGACCTGGGAGATGAGGTTGATAGGGAAATCAGGGACAATTACAAACCAAATACCTGCGAGATCTTAAGCCTTGTTCTTATACCTTAATCTTATCTCTGTTGCAAAAAAGAGGAGAAAAGCTGAATGCTATTTCTGGATTGTACTTGCCTGCTCACTCCACTGGATTTAGGGAAGATAACATTTTTTTGGCCTCTGTGTCATGTTCAACATCTTCAACCCTTCTTACAGGAGATTCTAACTAGATAATTACCTAGATGTAATAATTAAATGTATGGGAGGACATAGATATACTGGCATTTAGTTGGGGTATAGGAAAAATATTACCCCCACAAGAAAAAAAGAAACAAGTTATTGAAAATTATAGCTTCTTACTAGCTGTGTGTCCTTGGGCAAATCACACAACTACTCTGAGCTACTTTACATGATTGTTGTGAGGTAAACAATAGATGAGAATACTCAAGTAAATGTAAATTGTGGCCGAGTGTAAAAGCCACTGACTTTGCAGTCAGACATCTGGGGTAAGTCCTTCCCACCTCTCTGAGCCCTGGAATATCAGTGTAAAATATATATCTACTTTATAGAATTCTTGTGAATGTCAGGGCAGGATTAGTGCATATAACACACCTAATACAATATTATGACAAGAATGAGTTAAAAAGTGGTAGTTAAGGGGCACCTAGGAGTTGCAGTCGGTTAGACATCCGGCTCTTGGTTTCAGCTCAGGTCTGATCTCAGGGTCAGATCAAGTCCCAAGTCAGCTCCCCGCTCAGCGGGGAGTCTGCCTGAGTTTCTCTCTCCTTCTTCCTCTGCTCCTCCCCCCTGTGCACACGCGCCCTCTCTCTCTCACTGAAATAAAAAAATAATGTTAAAAAAAAAGTGGTGGTTAGTCATAATACCTCTTTTTTCTTGCTCAGTTTCTGGCCCATTTTCTAGGCTTTGAAAGAGAGAGCAGGCAGAGTTGTAGGAGTTCTATAGGATAATCTAGCAAAGTGTCTTTGCTGGTTTCCATCAGCTGAGCCTCCCAAGCCCTTATCATTGGCACAAATGACCAGACCTATGGTGGTGGGATTTCAATTGTGTGGCCCTCCCTCTCTCCCAATTTCTCCCTGGCAGAGAGAGGAGACATTTCTCTTCCTCAGAGTGACTCCATGCTGGGATATACATTGAAGAGCCAGAACTGAGCAGTTGGTGGTTCTGCTTTTATTCTTTTTTTTTTTTTTAAGATTTTATTTATTTATTTGACAGAGAGAGACAGCGAGAGCAGGAACACAAGCAGAGGGAGTGGGAGAGGGAGAAGCAGGCTTCCTGCGGAGCAGGGAGCCTGATGTGGGGCTGGATCCCAGGACCCTGGGACCATGACCTGAGCCGAAGGCAGACGCTTAACCACTGGGCCACCCAGGCGCCCCTGCTTTTATTCTTATTATAAAAGTGAAGACTTGTTCATTATTTAAAAATTTGAAAACTACAAAATGTATAAGGAAGACAGTATAAATCCCTTTACATTTTGCTGCCCAGAGAAAACCACTCTTGATCTTTTTTCCCAGGCATGCAGCAATCTGTATAATTGAGATCACCGTAGAAAATAGAGATTTGTACTTGTTTTCCCTTTGTCTTTATTTTAAGACATTTTAAATTATGAAATTAGAATAAGGGCAGGAAGGTACAATTTAACAAGTAACATAAAGGGACTACCACTTAAAAAAGAAACCGGGACATTGTCAAAGCTGTTTCACAGTATCCCCTCTGTCCCACAACCTCCTCCCCCTCATTGTTACTTAGAGGTGATCACTATCATGGTTAGTGGTTCCTGGCTTTTCCTTATACTTTGTCATCTTTTTTTTTTTTTAAGACTTTATTTTTGGGCACCTGGGTGGCTCCGTTGGTTAAGCGACTGCCTTCGGCTCAGGTCATGATCCTGGAGTCCCGGGATCGAGTCCCACATTGGGCTCCCTGCTCGGCAGGGAGTCTGCTTCTCCCTCTGACCCTCCCCCCTCTCATGTGCTTTCTCTCTCTCTCATTCTCTCTCTCTCAAATAAATAAATAAAATCTTAAAAAAAAAAGACTTTATTTTTAAGTAATCTCTGCACCCACCGTGGGGCTCAAACTCACAACCCCGCTGAGATCAAGAGTTACACGCCCCACCGACTGAGCCAGCCAGGCGCCCCCTACAGTTTATCATCTTAAGCAAGACAATTACATTTTCCCCAATTTGACCTTTATGGAAATAGAATCTACCACATTCTTTTGAGCTTTGCTTTTTTCGTTTCATATTATCCTTGTAAAACTCATCACGTAGTTGCATAGAGTTATAGGGGTTTTTTAATTTGTTTTTATTATCCTTGTAACATTCCATTTGTGAATACACCACAGTTTGTCCACGATCTTGTTAATTGACATCTGAAGCTTTGGTAGTTTGAAGCTATGGTTGAATATTCTTGACATGTCTCCGGGCACACATTTATACACATTTATACAAGTGTCTGCGGGGTGTTTGATTTTTTCACCTCATTCTATATAATAAGCATTTACCCATGTAAACAAATATTTATGGAAAACATTACTTTTTTTTAAAAGATTTTATTTATTTACTTGAGAGAGAGAATGAGATAGAGAGAGCATGAGAGGGGGGAGGGTCAGAGGGAGAAGCGGACTCCCCGCCAAGCAGGGAGCCAGATGCGGGACTCGATCCCGGGACTCCAGGATCATGACCTGAGCCGAAGGCAGTCGCCCAACCAACGGAGCCACCCAGGCGCCCAAACATTCCTTTGAAAGGGTCTGTCATATGCCAACATTCTAGTGCTTGGTTGTCAGACGTTTAGATTGTTCCCAGTTTCCCTATGACATATAACACTGCAATAAATATGGGGACCTTAATGATTAATGAAACACTTAGCATAATTCTCAGTACAAGTACCTGCCCACCTCTTTTCTCACAGGTAATACCACAGATCTTAGCCTTTTTAGTGTGTGACTCATATATCAGTTAGGAAGAACTTTCGGAAAGGTTGGGCTGGAAACAGTCATTAAGAAATAAGTATTCACAGCAATAAAAAACCCAGGGTATCCCAAACAGAGGGCATTCTCAGGAAGGAATTAGGAGGCACGAAGACTATGAAAGAAGAGAATGATAGGGTAGCTCCTGCTTGTTCGGAGCTGGCGACAAGCCAAGCATAGCACTGCATGCTTATTGGGGTCATTGCATTGTCCTCTCTGCTTAGGAGGTAATTTCTGTATTTTCCAGATGATGGAATAGAGGCTTGGAGAAGCTAAACAATGTATCCACAATTACATGGCTTATAGTGGAAAAGTATGGACCCAATCTCTGGTCCGAGATCAAAGTCCAGGCTTACTCCTCGACAGTGCTACCTCTCTCTGTGATCATGGACAGGACTAGTGAGTCTATTCCGTTTTGCTGTCCTCCTAAGGGTAATTGATAGTTCATTCAGGGCAGAACTCTTTCTACAGTTATAGGAATAGAAATTTAACATTCAAAAAGAAGAAAAAACTGCCCCAATTCCCTGTATCACTATGTAATCCTCAGTCCTTGCAGACCTCATGGGGGATTCTACTGGCCTCATGTAAAAAGAAAAGAGAAGAGAAACTAGGTCTTTGTCAGTCATTGATGAACACCAGTAATTGTAATCCAGCCCTTTCTACTGTTCTTTTTATGCTTTTCTGAAGCCTTCCCAAGTATAATTATTCCTCAAATATACCAAAACCCCTAAATAATTCATATCACCTACCATCTTTTCCTTGAAAGGAATTTGTGCTGATAGAATGCCAAGCAGCTAAAGAAAAGCCTCCTTTGGTCACTAGCCTCTGGTGGTAGTCAGCACGTTCAGATATGCGGCTTCTAAGAGTCTACAGTATTCCACGGCACCAGGAAGAAATTTGAATGCTGGTGTTCGATATCCAAGCCTTCTTGTGGAACACTCACAGGGAAAACACCATTTCTTTAAGTGAGCACCATCCATAGCACTTTTCTGTGATGAACTGTTAGGTGTCTGCATTGTCTAATATAGCAGCCACTACTACATGAGGTTATTGGACACTTGAAATGTAGCTAATATACCAGATTAGAAAGCTCGGTTAAGGCTGTACAGATTCAATCTCTTTTTAAGTCTCAGAAAAATCTGATGAAAGTTAAAGACCATCTCTCCATGAAAATGTACGTTTGATCATCATACAAACACAAAATCAGATCCAATTGCGAGGGGTCCCTACTTAAGAATCCTGACAAAGGGCTGTGTGTACTTTAAGTGCTTCTCAAAGCATGATTTCAAGAGAGTTGACTCCCAGGGACCACTAATCAGCAGAGCTTTGTGCTCCATTCCTCCCCCTTGGATTTTTGCCATCTTTAGAATCTGCAGACCCACCCGCATGGTAGAGTCAGTCACTGAGCCAGAGTCTGATTTTCTCAGGGGTCAAGAAGAATCTTTCTGCTGGTTATACTACCCACTCCTACCTTTACCCAGACCATTGCTCCCTGTGTACTAGGACTGGAGTTCCTTCACTGCTACACTTGGCTACATGTCTTTCCTGTTCACTGACATTAAAAGAACAGTCAGGGGTGCCTGGGTGGCTCAGTTGGTTAAGTGTCCCACTCTTGATTTTGGCTCAGGTCATGA